AAAAGAAGAAGATGGTAGCACTGAAAAGTCAGAGACTACACAGATACACGTGGAAAAGGAGTTTGAACAAGGAGATTCTTCTGAAGCAGAACCATCACATGATGAACAAGAACCAGAGAGTTCTGAAGCTCCAATAACTCGTCAATCAGATCGTGTGAGAATACGTCCCAATTGAAACTCAGATTATGTTATAGAAGGAAATGTTGCATACTGCCTTTTAACAGAGGACGGTGAGCCATCAATATATCAGAAGGTAATAAACAGCTCAGATGCTTCACTGTGGATGATGGCGATGCAAGAAGAAATTGAAGCCCTTCATAAAAATAATACATGAGACCTTGTGCCACTACCACAAGGAAGGAAGCCAATTGGTAACAAATGGGTCTTTAAAATTAAGCGAAATGGTGACGATCAAGTTGAGAGGTATCATGCAAGACTGGTGGTCAAAGGACATGCTCAAAAAGAAGGTATTGATTTCAATGAAATATTTTTTCCTGTGGTTCGACTAACAACAGTTCGAGTAGTTTTGACAATCTGTGCTACATTGAACTTACACCTAGAGCAACTAGATGTTAAAACAGCTTTTCTTCATGGAAATCTTGAAGAAGAGATTTATATGCTTCAGCCTGAAGTTTTTGAAGAAAAAGAAAAGAAGAACTTGGTTTGCATGTTGAACAAATCTCTGTACGGTCTAAAGCAGGCGCTGAGGTGTTGGTATAAGAGATTTGATTCCTTCATTATGTGCCTTGGATACAACAGACTTAATTCAGACCCTTGTGCTTATTTCAAGAGGTCTGGTGATAACGATTTTGTTATATTACTGTTGTATGTGGATGACATGTTAGTTGCAGGACCCAACAAAGATCATATTGAAGAATTGAAGGCACAACTGGCTAGGGAATTTGAAATGAAGGACTTGGGATCAGTAAACAAGATTCTAGGGATGCAAATTCACCGAGACAGAAGTAATAAGAAGATTTGGCTTTCATAAAAGAATTACTTGAAGAAGATCTTGTCATGATTCAACATGCAAGATTGTAAGCCAATTTCTACCCCTCTTCCTATTAACTTCAAATTATCCTCCAGAATGAGTCCTAGCAGTGAAGAAGAGAGGATGGAAATGTCTTGAGTACTGTATGCATCAGCAGTGGGAAGTTTAATATTCGCTATGATATGCACAAGACCAGACATTGCACAAGCAGTGGGAGTGGTTAGTCGGTACATGGCGAATCCAGGCAAAGACCATTGGGATGCAGTAAAGAGGATCCTGAGATACATCAAAGGGACCTCAAATGTTACATTATGTTACGGAGGATCAAACTTACTAATAAATGGGTATGTAGATTCTGACTATGCAGAGGATTTGGATAAAAGCAAATCTACTACACGATATGTGTTCAAAGTTGCTGGTGGAGTTGTAAGCTGGGTTTCAAAATTGTAGTCAGTTGTGGCTACATCCACAACAGAGGCAGAATATGTAGCAGCTACACAAGCCAGAAAAGAAGCAATTTGGTTGAAGATGCTATTGGAGGAGCTTGGGCACAATCAAGAGTATGTCTCTATGTTTTGTGACAGTCAAAGCGCCTTGCATCTAGCAAGGAATCCAACATTTCATTCAATGACAAAGCACATAAGAGTTTAGTACCATTTCATTCGTGAAAATGTGGAAGAAGGGATGATAGATATGCACAAGATCCATACCAAAGACAACATAGCAGATTTCATGACGAAGGTAATCAATGCTGATAAATTTACCTGGTGTCGATCCTCTTGTGGCCTGTCAGAGATGTAAGCAACATGATGGTACAAGGTAGAAAGAGTGGTGTGAAGATATGATTGTTCCAATCAAATCTTCAAGTGGGAGATTGTTGAAAAGTCAGAAAAAGGGGCACCGCATTTGTTAAGTCAAATTCGGTGCAGATTTTATTGAAAATATGTAATGGGTAATTATTAATTCTAGTCATTGTAATTTAGGGTATTTACAAATTAGTCCTTAAGCTTCAACTATAAATACCCTAGCTCATTTAGCTTCAAAACCATCTCAAAGCAATCTAGCTTTCTTCCAATACTAGAGAGAATTTAGAGAGTTTCTTGAGAGTTGTTTTATCCTTTTTATCAAGAGAGAATTATCATTTTTTTCTCCTTGGTAGATCGAGAGAAGTTTTAATTCCTATTTTCTCATAGTGAAATTCTCCTACCGTTGCCTGTGGTTTTTACCTTATATTAATTAGGGTTTTCCACGTAAATTTTGTGTCTCTTTTATCTTCATTTTTATTTTCTCAAATTATTAGTTGAGATTTTGCTCTATCCGATAGCCGTCTTTCGCAACACGGACTTCATGCAGTCGATATAAACTTGAGGTTTCTTTCTATGTTCGGCTAAAGTTATTCCAAGTGTTGCTATAGTGTATTTTGAGCATATAAACTCAATAAGGAATGAAATAATTTTATTTGAGAAAGCAGAACAATAATTTATCATGAATAACTTTGAGGAGAAATCATGTCAACGTTAGTTTTCTCATAAAAGATGCAAAAGTTTTTTTGAGGTAATACTCAGAAAACTTGGTTATTGACTCGATCTCATTCGTAAAAGAAATTACGGCATATTCACAAAGGAACTACAATAATTACATATATTTTGACACATGAAAAAATGAAAGGAAAAAAAGTGTTTTACCTAGATTTACATGAACATTATCGTCAACTTTGACATAAAATTCTGTATCCCACAAGGAAACAGAAGTGGCAAAATAAGTTTTCATCTTGCCGGACAACTCCAAGTAGCCCTCGATATGTTACTGCATTAGTTAATGACTAACAGAAGTAAAGGCCTGTGACATATTCTTCTATGAAAATATATATCAAGAGTTAAGTACTCGATATATGTAACGACTAATAACAAGCATTACCAATCTCAAAAAGTCTCCATGCACTCTTTCCTCAGCTTCGATGACTTTATCAAGAATGTCGCCTAATGTCAAACTGGAGAAATGACGTGTTGCGGAATACGGTTATCGGATAGAGCAAAATTGTAACTGATAATTTGAGAAAATAAAAATAAAGATAAATAAGACACAAATTTTACGTGGAAAACCCCTAAATAATATATGGTAAAAACCACGGGCAAAGATAGAAGAATTTCACTATGAGAAAATAGGAATTACAACTTCTCTCGATCTAACAAGGTGAAAACAATAACAATTCTCTCTTGATAAAAAGGAGAAAGCAACTCTCAATAAAACTCTCTAAATTCTCTAGTATTGGGAGAAAGCTAGAATGATTTAGGATGGTTTTGAAGCTAAATTGGTTAGGGTATTTATAGTTGAAGCTTAAGGACTAATCTTATAAATACCCTAAAGTATAGTGACTAAATTGGGTAATTTTCCCTTACCAATTTTCAACTAAAATCAGCTACCAATCTTGGACCAACCGTAAATCTTGAAAACCAATTTTTGCAATAAAATTGGACCATTGTAAGCTGCACATTTTTTATTTTTCAACAATCTCCCACTTGAAGATTTGATTGGAACAATCATATATTCAGACCATTCTTTCTACATTGTACCTTAATGTTGCTTATGTTTCTGACAGGCCACAAGAGGATCGACACCAAGTAAATTTATCAGTATTGACCACCTTCGTCATGAAATCCGCTATGTTGTCTTTGGTATGGATTTTCTGCATATCTATCGTCCCTTCTTCCACCTTTTAACGAATGAAATGGTACTGAACTCGTATGTGTTTTTTCCTTGAATGAAATATTGGATTCCTTGCTATATGCAAGATGCTTTGACTATCACAAAACATAAAGACATACTCTTGATTGTGCCCAAACTCCTACAATAGCATCTTCAGCCAGATTGTTTCTTTATTGGCTTGTGTACTACTACATATTCTGCCTCTGTTGTGGATGTAGCTACAACTGACTGCAATTTTGAAACCCAGCTTACAGCTTCACCAGCAACTTTGAACACATATCCTGTAGTAGATTTGCTTTTATCCAAATCCCTTGTATAGTCAGAATCAACATACCCATTGATAAGTAAATTTGATCATCTGTAACATAATGCAACATTTGAGGTCCCTTTGATGTATCTCAAGATCCTCTTTACTGTATTCCAATGCTCTTTGTCTGGATTCGCCATGTACCAACTAACTACTCCCACTGCTTGTGCAATGTCTGGTCTTGTGTATATCATATAGCGAACATTAAACTTCCTACTACCGATGCATACGGTACTTGAGACATCTCCATCCTCTCTTCTTCACTGCTAGGACTCATACTGGAGGATAATTTGAAGTTGATAGGAAGTGAGGTAGAAATTGGCTTACAATCTTGCATGTTGAATAGTGACAATATCTTCTTCAAGTAATTCTTTTATGAAAGCCAAATCTTCCTATTACTTCTGTCTCGGTGAATTTGCATCCCTATAATCTTGTTTGTTAATCGCAAGTCCTTCATTTCAAATTCCCTAGCTAGTTGTTCCTTCAATTCTTCAATATGATCTTTGTTGGGTCCTGCAACCAATATTTCATCCACATACAACAAAAATATAACAAAATCATTATCCCCAAACCTCTTGAAATAAGAACAAGGGTCTGCATTAAGTCTGTTGTATCCAAGGCACTTAATGAAGGAATCAAATCTCTTATACTAACACCTCGGCGCCTGCTTTAGACCGTACATAGATTTGTTCAACCTACAAACCAAGTTCTTCTTTTCTTTTCCTTCAAAACCTTCAGGCTGGAGTATATAAATCTCTTCTTCAAGATTTCCATGAAGAAAAGTTGTTTTAACATCTACCGCTCTAGATGTAAGTTAAATGTAGAACACATTGCCAAGACTACTCGAACTATTGTTAGTCAAACCATAAGATAAAAGATTTCATTGAAATCGATACCTTCTTTTTGAGCATATCATTTAACCACCAGTCTTGCACGATACCTCTCCACTTGATCGTTACCATTTCGCTTGATTTTGAAGACCCATTTGTTACCAACTGGCTTTCTTCCTTGTGGTAGTGGCACAAGGTCCCATGAATTATTTTTATGAAGGGCTTCAATTTCTTCTTGCATTGCCATCATCCACAGTGAAGCATCTAAGCTGTTTATTGTCTCCTGGTATGTTGACGGCTCACCGTCATCTGTTAAAAGGCAGTATGTAATATTTCCTTCTATAACATAATCTGAGAATTATTTTCTATCATTTTTACGTTAAAAAAATTAGATTATATCATCTTGGCACTAAAATTATTGTTTTCTCTAATCATGCAACCTTGACGTATTTGATGAACAAAAAGGAGGTGAAGCGAGATTAATCTATTGGATCTTGCTTCTTCAAGAATTTATTATGGAGATTAAGACAAAAAGGGATGTGAGAATTTGGTAACCGATCATCTGAGCCAACTTTTGATTTCCACAATCGATCCACCGCTCTGAGAAGAGTTCTTAGAGGAAAGTTTGATTTGGCGTAAAAATCAGCCCCTTGGTTTGTAGACATGGTAAATTATTTAGCCACAAGTAAGTTGCTGATAGATTTACTGAGAACCAAAATTAAGCTAGAATATCGATTTTATATTTGGGACGATCCGTACCTTTGGAAGCACTACTTAGACCAAGTAATTTGGTGATGCGTTGCCAAAAGTGAGGTAAGTTTCATACTCACTTTTGTCACTTTTACTCTTGCGGCGACCATTTTAGACCACAATTAATTGCACACAAAATTCGTGAGTGCATATTCTTTTGGCCTAACATTTTCCATGACACTTATGTGTTTTGCAAAGCTTGAGAAATATGTTAGTGCGTGGGTAATCTAAGTTGAAGGAATGAAATGCCTCTCATGCCAATTCAGATCTGCGAAATCTTTGACGTTTGGAGAATCGATTACATGGGTTCTTTCATTTTTTTTCAAAAATACATTCATTATTCTTGCATTTGATTACGTTTATAAATTAGTATAGGTTAAGGCTACCCAAAACAATGATGGCAAACTACTATTGACATTCTGAAGAATTTTATTTTCTAGGTTTGGTATACCACGAGTGATAACAAGCGATAGAGGAACTCACTTCGTCATTCGAGTCATTGAGGTGCTGATGAAGAAGTAAGGGTAGAGAACTGGCACAACCTACCATCCACAAACAAACGAACAAGAACAAGTATAGAATCATGAGATTAAGGTGATCCTTGAAAAAATAGTCAAGCAAGACCACAAGGTTTGGAGTTTGAAGTTGATCGATACCTTTTGGGCATATAAAACCGTGTACAAAGGCTCCATTAGAATGTCACCATACTGTCTCGTCTTCAAAAAACCATGCCATTTTTCAATTGAGCTAGAGCATAAGTCATATTAGGAGTTCAAGTAATGTAACATGGAAATAGATGCGGTCAACAAGGAGCGCAAGTTTCATATCCAAGAGCTTGAGAAATCCGTAGAAAATCTTAAGATAGTGCTTGGACATTTAAAGAAAAAAAAGAGTTCCACGATCATAGAATTTCCTTTAAATATTTTTCTTAGTCAAAAGGTTTTACTCTTTAACTCTAAGTTTAAAGTTTTTGAAGGTTAACTCAAATCAAAGTGGCTCAGACATTTAACGGTAACCCAAGTATTCCCTCATGGCGCAATCAAAGTTAAAGATGACTTAAGAGTTTGATTCAAAGTTAACGGTCAAAGGTTGAAACCATTTTATGACAATGTTATGGCCTGTTTAGTTGAAGAAATTAGTTTGGAAGAACATGTAGATTGAATCAGGTCGTCAAGCTCAACGACGTTAAACAAAACGCTTCATGTGAGGCAACATATTTTTAATATTGTATTCTTCGATTTTAATTTTTATTAGGCATTTTACTTACTATAATTTTTATTTTTTAGGCATCGCGGTAAGTTTATCCAGGCTTAAACGGAGTCGAAAGTAGTGTTTTCGATCGAATCAGACAAAATTTTGGACCCCCAACACAACAAAACATTTGAACTCCCTCTCAGCAGTGAAGTGCAATGTTTCATTAAATGAAGAATGTTAGTAGAAATGAAGAAGACGTGACGCACATTAGCAATCTCAATTTCAAATTTACTATAACCCTGTCACCTATACCTTTGTATCTTTTACCCAATTTCAAACATTCCCTCTTATGTCTAACATATGTTTGACCTAGCATTCCCTTTTCTCTTTTAAAATTCTTTGCGCCCCACATGTTACTTATCTCTTCACACTTTTATTATCTTATTAAATTCAAAATTCCTTTCCCCAATCATTTTCTTTTATATCTATCCCACGTGATCTAAACCCTAAAACTCTTTATTTTATTTTCTCTCATTCGATTCTTCTTCCTCTAATTCTTTCGCCCATTCTTCCTTCCAAACCGACCGTAAACACTCTTCCACCATAACCCCCAGTTAGTTCATTTCCCCACTCATCTCTAGCGTCATCGTACCTCTTTTCTCCATTCACGATGGTCCAAACTCGTAACCAAGGTAACAATGATCCAACTATTACACTGATGGTACTCGGTAGCCGAAGATGATAATTTGCTCTAGTGTTCGTGGATGTGTCAAATGACTTAGACGCAATGACATCACCTTCTCCTTGTCGTGGTGGAAGTTAACAGCAGGTAACAATGATCCCACTGCACTCGAGTCGTTCCATGCTCCTCCACCCTTTCCTACTTTCATCGGTCGTCATTCACACTGATCAGACATATATGACCTAAGTAATGCTCGTCGTTACTCACTTTCACGGTCACTATCTCCTTCATTCCATTCTATGCCAACCTTGGCATCTTTATCTTCTCGATCGAGGCATTTGACCATGCCTTCATATTGATGAATTCAGCGACATCATACCAATATCATGAGCTAAGTTCCGAACCTGTTTCAATTCCACCATTACTAATGTATCATCATGTTTTCGGTTTTTACAAAGGATTTCACTACCAGATTTCCATCGATAGGGCAGCTTGAGCACGCTTCCGATTCTCACTGTCACACCGAGCAACCCTATTTTTCATTCGATACATCTAATTCGGGCGAATTTCCAACACATCCTAAAAGCCCACCGGTGCCTTCGTACGATCCTGAGTGTAACCGTCGAGGGCATTCTTATGTAGTTGCGGCTAAAGAAAACTTGAAAGGATATTTGTACTCTGTAAACGAGCAGTTGGTTTGCTTCGAGTCGGTATGACATTGACCCTTTCGTGTTTGTAAGTTTATTCCAACTCAGACTTTGGAAAATCTACATTTGCAATATGTTGTTTATGCTTATTTTGAATCAATTGATTGGACTTTTTTTCTCGGATTAAATATGACACATTATATGAACTTGTCTTTGAATTCTATGCTACGTTCGCATTTTTGCAGGATCGTCTTATCAATGTCGAGTATCCTAATGTAGTTTCTTTCTGTTTATGTAGCCATCATTTTTGAATGTCTATTTATGTGTTTAATCTTGCCATGGGATTCATGAAAAATATCATAAGTTACAAATATCTAACTAGTTTACTTGAGATGCCAAAGGATTTTGATGCAGATTCTACTTACGCGACACTTACAAGACTTGTCGATATACCCTTCAATGCTCGCTCGACTAAAGCTATTCATATCCATGATCCAACATTGCGTTACATACATCGATTTATAGCTTATAACTACTCGGGAAAAATGATTCTTCTTCTTCCCTGAGTACGACTGAACATTTATTTCTTTGGGGTATGTTAACTGGTATAAAGGTAAATTTGGGCTTTTGGTTTGCCCGTTCTTTTGAGATCGTCATCCGATCTAATCGCCCACTTATCCCTGGTCCTTATATTACTCATAGTGCTTGTATAGCCAATTTTAATGTTATAAACTTTATTTATACATTTTCTATGGATGAACTAGATGAGTATTGTTTGGATTCGATGAGATTACTTGTTGGTACTGTTGTGGCACCTTACTTTGTTCCGCCAGGAGTGATGAGTCCTCGAGGAGAACAAGTCTTCTCCGTTGCAATGCACCACAACCACCACCAAAGGCACCTTGTCTGGACATACAAACACAAATGAATGAAGTCCATGACCCTCTCCACACCATCGAGATGAACATCATTGAGATTCTGTCCTATCTTCACTCTAGCACCTCTCACCGCGACCGTGGTTATGGTCGCCAATGAACATAGGGAGTCTTCTCTATCCTTTATCTTGTATTTTAAATTCTACGTATTGGGACAATACGGATTAAGTGAAGGGGTAAATAATTAGTTGAATTTCACCTTGCTTATCTCCATGTTTTGATTTTAGTATGCCTTGGTTGAATTGGTGGAAAATTCCATTGAAATCCTTTACCTCTGTTGAATATTTTGTTATGCCATGATTGCTTGTGACCATACGGTTTTTTGAGTCTAGATATTTATAATAATGGATGGCATGAGTAGTGATTTGAGTATATTTTTTGTGATATTTCATGACTTTGTTGGTTGAAATATGCCTAATTCAATGCATGTACACATTTTCGGTAAGATTTGAACCTTTACAAGCATATTCTTTATATTCTTGCTCTTATTCTTGTTTAATTGAATGTGTTGAACTAGTCATTATTATTATAGAACATGTACTTTAATACTTGTCGAGACTACATAAGAACTTGATGCTTTGAAATGATTTGGGCACTTAGGAATCACGACCACTTTTTACCCAAAATGCCTACCCTATTATTTCCCATTAGTTAATCATGTTTGAGCTTATTCCCGTTCTTTGTTTTCACCATAAATTTAAACCTGATCCTTTCCATTTGTCCCTCTCTTCCACCCTTGTCAATACAAATAGTATGAGTTGAACATTGTATGATCATGATCCACACAAAGAAAAAAGAAACAAATAGAAAATCAAATTCGAAAGGATTTAAATAAAAAACAAAAGAAAAAGGGTTCGAAAAATAGAAAAAGAAAACAAAAATAATGGTTTGCTTTAAGTTTTATTGTTTGATGAATTACTTTGTTGTTTTATTTACTTGCATTTATTTTGGACTTTGACTTAATTATTT